CAGAAAGATTATCTCCATGCTTTCTCTTAAGAGTTTTATGTTTTGAGCTCACATTAAGTCTTTGGTCTTTAATTAGTCTTCTGTGCTAATTTTTGTGTGGTGTGAGGTAGGGGTTTGACTTTGCTCTTTTGTTTGTGGTCATCCATTTCTCTCAGCAGCTCGCTGGAGAGGCTGTTTTTTCTCCATTGACTGGTCTAGGCACCTTGAGAAAAATCATTTGATTCTAGATGTTTGGGATCATTTCTGGACTCTTAATTCTATTTCTATGATCTATGTTGAGCCATAAGTCAGAACCACAATGTTTTGATTACTGTAGGTTTGTAGCAAGTTTTGACAGTGGGAAGTGTGAGTCTTCCTGGTTTGCTTTCCCTCCCCTGAATGTTTTTGGTACACAGAGCTCCTTGCAATTTCATATGAATTTGAGAGTCTGTTTTTCCCTTTCTGCAAAAAAGGGCATGGGAATTTTGACAGCAATTGCATTGTCTATCAATTACTTTGGGGAATATTGTTATATTAACAATATAAGTCCTCCTGTCCATAAACATGGGATATATTTTAATTTATCTAGATCATCTTTAATTTTTTTTTAGCAATGTTTGGTAATTTCAGTGTACAAGTCTTCACTTCTTTGGTGAAATTTCTTGCTAGGTATTTTATTCATTTGGATGCTATTACAAATGAAATTGTATTCTTAATATCCTTTTTTGATTAATATGGCTGGAGTAGAGAAGCTCAACTGATTTTCTATCTTGATCTTGATCATGTACTCAGAAATGCTGTAAGATTTGTTTATTAGCTCTAGTAGAATGTGTGTGTGTGTGTGTGTGTGTAGTATTCTATGGGATTTCCCATATGTAGACTAGTGTAATATGTAAATATAGTTTTACTTCTTCCTTTTGAATTTGGAAGTGATGCTTTTCTTTCTTTATCTTACCTTATCGCTCTTGTCAAGACTTCCAGTACAAGGCAGAATAGCTGTGCAGAAGTGTGAGGGGTGATCTATATGTTGCTCTGTTCATCTCAGGAGAAGCTTTGGGCCTTTTACAGTAAGTATTAGGGCTTTTCAATTGCCTTTAGCATGGTAAAGGAGTTCTCTGCTATCCCTAGCTCACTGATGTGTGCTGCTTCACTTGTTCTTTCAGCATAGTATGTTACAAAGTGCTGAGTGACTTTCTCGTGTCGAGCTATCCTTGCATTCTCTGAATAAATCCCCCTTAGTTGAATCCTTTTATGGTGTATAATCCTTTGAATGTGGGTAATGTTAAACTTTAACAATGTTAACATTTTTGGTATGCCAATTAGACTGAATTTTATTTGACGGGTGCAGGTCAAGACCCAAAGCTAGACTCTGTATCTCATCCCCACCCAGTACAGCCATGAGTGGTGACTGTGTATCTCATCCCCACCCAGTACAGCCATGAGTGGTGACTGTGTATCTCATCCCCACCCAGTACAGCCATGAGTGGTGACTGTGTAT